AATAATTTAGTTCTTCATCAAGGGCTAGTTTGGAGGAGCAAACTTGAAGAGCACAGAAAACATAGGAATAAAATGAAGCTAACTTTTGTTTAGTCGGATGACATGATTTAAAGGGTGGTGGAAGGCAAACCGATGAAGGTTTACGGTAAACCGTAGTACTGAAGTTGAATGTGTTACGTGTGACCAGAATGTCGAGAAACGGAAGAGAATTGCAAGTCTCAAGTTCAAAAGTGAACTGATTAGCAGGATCAATAGAATTCATTGTTGAAAGAACTTTATTTAAATCATCTTTATTACCTTCAAACAGAGTAAAAGTATCGTCTACGTAGCGGAACCATGCCGGGAAGTTTAAAGTTTCAAACAATTTTGATTCATAAAATTTTGATTCTAAAATATAATTTTAACTTCTCACAAACCTGTAAACCCTCGATTCCAAAGATTTTGGCTCCTATCGAAAAAGCTTTCAAGTTCAGTAAAGTTTCAGATTCACAGAAAGAAATGATTAGGCATCTTATCGCTCATAATGTGAAATTCAATAATAAACCTTTGAAACCAAATCTAACTGCTAGAGAAAGAGCTACATTGCGTGAAATTCATTCTAACCCGGATATTATTATTTCAAAGGCCGACAAAGGTGGCCAGATAGTCGTCATGGATAGGAACACTTACATCGATGGTGTCACTAAACTCTTAAACGAAGGACCATATAATCCGATTCCTAAAGATCCTTCACCTTCGGACTTGTCAAAAATAAAAACTGCGATCAAATCTTCGCAAATCATTTCAGGCAACTTAAAAACATTCACTTATCCCATCTGTTGCGAATTGTGCCAGATTATATGCTTTCCCAAAATTCATAAAAGTGGTATTCCTTTCCGCCCTATTGTATCAAATTTAGGTACTGCCTCGTATCCATTAGCTAAATATTTAGTTTCTAGATTTTCAACTCTATTAGACAATAACATTTACACCATAAAAAATTCAATAGAGTTTGTAAAAAAAGTTAAAAACATTTCTCCTAGTAATTTACTCATGGTTTCTTTTGATGTAAAATCATTATTCATCAATGTCCCAGTGGAGGGTGCATTAAGATGTCTAGAAACCAGACTTCGCGAATTTCATTTCTCTTGCATCGAAATTGATGAGCTAATTTCTCTCACTCAACTCTGTTTGAAACAAACACATTTTGTTTTCCAAAATAAATATTACAAGCAAACTGAGGGATTAGCCATGGGAAGCCCCCTCAGTCCCATCCTGACTGATATCTACATGCATTATTATGAATCAAAATTGTTTGAAACTTTAAACTTCCCGGCATGGTTCCGCTACGTAGACGATACTTTTACTCTGTTTGAAGGTAATAAAGATGATTTAAATAAAGTTCTTTCAACAATGAATTCTATTGATCCTGCTATTCAGTTCACTTTTGAACTTGAGACTTGCAATTCTCTTCCGTTTCTCGACATTCTGGTCACACGTAACACATCCAACTTCAGTACTACGGTTTACCGTAAACCTTCATCGGTTTGCCTTCCACCACACTTTAAAATCATGTCATCCGACTAAACAAAAGTTAGCTTCATTTTATTCCTATGTTTTCCGTGCTCTTCAAGTTTGCTCCTCCAAACTAGCCCTTGATGAAGAACTAAATTATTTAAAAGCAATAGCTATTGACAGGGGCTTTCCACCCAAACATTATTAATCAAGCAGTTAAAAAATTCTCATCTCAACACACTAAAAGGCAACACTCTTGTTTTAGGAGATATAAAATAAATTCTGTTGTCATTCCCTTCTTTCCATCAATTAGCTATAAAGTTGCACATATTTTGCAGAAATTTAACTTTCGGGTTCGTTTATTCTCCCATCAATAAAATTCCGAGTTCCATACTCAAGGACCCCATTCCGGATATGAATTCCTGGGGTATTTATAGGATTCCTTGCCAGTGTGGTTTAATTTACATTGGCCAAACTAAGAGAGCCTTAAAATTTCGCGTCAAGGAACATGAGGCATATGTTAGAAAAAAAGGAAACACAGAAGTCTTCTGTTGCTCAACATTGTTGGTCCCGAAAAACCACACTTTCAGTTTTTTCTGCTGCCAAAATTATTCAAAAAACATCTTCCATTGGAGAACTGGATTTTCTAGAGGCATTTCACATTCATAAAAATCTTTCTGTTCTAGTTAACGATCCTAATTCCAATCCAAATTTGCCTTCGGCCTTTAAAGAAATTATGTTTTAGTTCTGGTTTCACCAACAGATGGCGCCACTTGCTTATTCTTGTCCAGGCTTTCTTATCTTATCTAATCATTATTTCCTATCTGGTTCATTTGAGGTTTTGCAGCTGAAGATGGTGGTTCGGTAAAACCATCGAAACTAGTCCTGTGAAAATTTTGTAAATATAACGCTGATTTTTGTTGTTTGACTTCTGAATTAGTAACTGATTTAAAGTCAATAAGCGCAGTTCTTGAGAATATTTTTTTCTTACTTTTTAATGTGATTAATTTAAATGAACATGTTCGAAAATCATGACATGTTTAATTAGAACTATTCAGTGTTTTTTTTTAAATTACATTAGCTGAACTCATTAAAGTCGTTATATACTTTTTCTTTTTTAAGATAACTTATTAGGCGGTTGGCCGCATGAGAGGCTAGTTTTGAAAGAAATGATATAGCGAATATAAAAGTATAACACTCTATCTGAAGTTCTAAAGATATGCTGCTTTTTAAATGTATGTATTGTGATTTTGCTGTTTTGAATTGAAATTTGAATGAAGAGATGAACAAGGAGATAATGAAAAATGATAAAAAATTAACACAAGTTAACAATAAATAAAGTTAATAATAAAAAAATCATAAAAGGAAAATGCCATCTTATTGAGGAAACTGAATATTAACATAAATAAATGGGAAAACTGAAACGAATATAAAAATGTACGCCAACACTTAACGCTGCATCTGGAGTTCTAAACATTTTCCGTTATTCAGCTTTTAAAAATTTTGTGATTTTTGGTGTTGAACTGTATGTAGCGTAAATGCGAAGAAAACGATGCTTAATAATGAAGCTAAAAAAAGACAGGGGAAAAAAAAAAAGTCCAGTTAGCAAGAGTGGGACAACAGACTGCAACAAACTCTTCTGGGGGGCCATAAAAATCCTTTATTTTTTTGGGAGTATCTAAATTTGGGGGCGGGGCTTAAAAATGTTTTTTGCATAGAGGCTGAATACTATAATACTATATATTTTAGTGTGTCTCATGTATGTAACTTGTGTCCAGCGCATTATAACCTTTCGGTACATACACCAACAATCCACTACTACTACTTACTACAATTACACAATGTATTATAAAATATAAATTAAATCTAGCAGGACTCAGTGGTTAAGTTGCAATGAAATAATAAAATAATAATAATAAATTCAAAATAGTATAGAATATTTTAAATTAAAATATTCCGGCGAACTGGATGACTGCATAGAAGTTTTCGCTGTTTTTCTTGCTTCGAAATTTTGTGTGCAAATTGCGTGAAAATATTATACCTGTGCGAGATGCACTTCCTCTAACGAGGATTTCTAATTTATGGGTTAAATCCAAATAGTAACTTGGAAAGGCATCTTAAAGTATAAAAAAGATATTGCGTACTAAATAACAACAAAATATTTGCAGGAACGTTTCTGAACTATCCGAGATGGTATAAACATGCGATGATAGATGAGTAAGATGTATATCCTTGACTATTTTTTTTTTTTTTTTTTTAATTATCAATGAACCGAACTGAGAAATAACAGAATGCAGTAAAGAAATGCAAACCAAGTTGATACTAGCCATCATAATTTAGAATTAATTAATTATTATTTATTAAAATGGTAAATTAAATTATAACACTAGTAGAAAAGTAAGAGATATAACAATTAATCTATTTAAATAACACTAAAACCCTTATATAATTTGAATACGTGTCAGTTTCATTTAAAACGTCCTCCACGAAATCGTCTTTTCCGAAAGACAGATTGATTGCCTCAAGTACTTTCATAACATAAATAATAACCCTTTTAAAATAAAATTTTACATTAAAATAAGGGAAAAAAAGCAAATTAACCAAAAAAAAAAAACATATTAATGTACTTAATAAAACAAATTAACAGCAGCTCATGGAAATGAAAACCTTTTTAATATGATTAGATTTCTTTTAATGCATTCATAATTTTTATGTTTTCATCTAAACGTTTTTGGAATAAATGCTTCTTTAATTATTATTAAAGCTTAAACTGAGATTCAGCATTTTTTTCTCTTAAAGCCAAGAGCGATAATATTGTAGCACTGCGCGATGCAAGTGAAGAATAGAATAAGCATGTTTCTCGATTAAAAATTTCAAAAATTATGTTAAAAAAATTAAAAAATTGAACAAAACATTAGGTTAGATTTCCTTCCTAAGCATTATGAAAACCCGGATAACCTGTGCTAATTTCGCTTGGAAAAACTCTTCTTGTCTTTCTGATTAAGCAACTCCCAGAGCTCTATAGAGTTTTTTCAGGTTAAAATGAGACATACCGAGGGACCGAAGATCATCTAAATATGGGCTCAGGTGCGCTCAATTTTTATCTGAAACGCAGAAGAAACGGAACTAGACTCAGCGCGTAATGAAGCACAAAATCTGCGCAAAACAGAAATATAATTTCTGAAAAGAAAACTCTTGACTAATGTGTATAGGGAGACTTATTAAAATCACTTTTGTCTTCACATTCGTATAAGTTTGCAACTTACCCCTCCCCCCCCCCGAAATAAAAAAAAATAAATTAAAAAAAACTTTCTCTTGCCTTAAAAATAAATTTAACTATTAGCTTTATTATAATTGTTTCTTTAAGTGAGAAATATGTTTATTAACAACACACGAAGTTATGATATAAACTTCAACGTAAGTAGGGAAAAGAATGTTTAAGCAACGCGTATCCCACATAGGTTTAGGTTTAGGTTATTACGTCAATTCCGCATTTTCTCTGCGCTGGTGTCTCCGGCGGCGCCTGTGTCAATTTACTTCAGTTTTACGTCGAACTAACTAATGGCTACACGAGGTGTTCTTGTTTCTCTGTCGAAATCCAGCCAGCTTATTCAAAGCCGAAAATGTTCATCATTAAAAGGCAGTTTGAAATCTAAGCAATATGTGTCAGAACAATGGAAATCGACATCTGCTACTGTAATTGCACCGGAGACGACTGCTGTTGATGGAGAAGCAAAATATGAGCGGGATGAACTGGATTTAACATTTGAAAATACTAAAGATGCTTACAAGAGCAAAACCACGTGGGAACTTGTTCGGGCTCTTATGGTTCTGAAGTTAACGACGTTCGATTATCTTGTAGAAAACAACCAGCAAGTGAGTCATTTAGGTTTACCCTCTGAATTTTTATATTCAGAATTATTTGTGGCGCGCTAATTCGAATATTTCGCTAATCAGTTTTAAGAGTGTATCATTTCGCTTAAATTTTAAGAACGCAATTTAATGTAAAAATTTGAAAATTTATGTACAAATTGAATGCAGTTGTATAGTCAAATAATGCTACCAAAAGAGTGTCCTTAATAAATTATAATAATTATGATTTTTACTGAGGCTCAAAACTTTTAAGTGACATCTTTGCGACTTTGGGATGTACAAAAAAAAAAAAAAAAAAAAAAAAAAAAGGTTCCGTTTAGTCATATATACGATATTAAGAGCCTTAAAATTTGCTGTATAATATCGTCGAAAAGAGTAACCCCCCCATAGAAAATTTAGCATTTTAATTTGTAATAGCTCACAAATGAAAAATTTTAATATTATAATCAATTGACTACTTCTGGACAATGTGATGCAGTTCTAAACTATTGCTCTTAATTTACTCTTTTGTTTTTGTAACATTTTCTATTTCTTATTTTAATTAGTTAAATTGTTATAAGCTGTATGCAGTTCATTATTTTGCATCTTATGATGGACTACCAGTAACTTAAAACAGGATTAAAAAATTCTTAACACTGCCTTTAAAAGAAAATTTCAGATACAAATTGAAGGTTTTCTGAACAATATATGGCTATATGAATGTTTGTAGAGCTATTATTTAAGTTTAAATAACAGCCAAGAAAATGAAGTATGGTTAGCTTTTATATATCCTCCAAAGCCAATGCCAGTGGTAGGTTTATGAGTGTATGTGTGTGGGGGCTTATGAAACAAAATATGTTTATTAATCTTTGAAAATAACTCAATGATATGAAGATCCTTTTGAACCTGAAGCCACTCCCATTTCCAACTTTTGTGAACCTTTGGCCTTTAAGTAAATGAATTTGTAATAGTTACTGATGTAGAGTGAATATCTTAGACTTAATTAATAATAAAAAGTAATTGAAAGTTTTTTGAACATTTAAAATTAGACTAGTTATATGTGTATTTATTACTGTAAGTAACTTGATATAGAAATTATAACCCTTTAAGTTTACAGTCTTATAACCCTTTAAGTTTACAGTCTTGGCTTATGTAATCTAATAAAGGAATGAAAATAATCTATGATAATCTTTCAGAGGTTTTATGCATATCTTTGCTGAATGGTTGTAAATGTGATGGCAAAGAGTATGGCAGAGTGGTCCATTGCTGAGCTATGCAAATTTCAAGCAAAGGCCTTGTATTTATTTATAAAAACAAATTTTAAGTAAATATTTTAATTGGAATATTTTACATGTATTTTGACAAAAATAAGAAATAATTGTGTTTAAACAAACAAAAAATAAAAATAAAGCTCTTAAAAATAAAAAAAAATATTACAAAGTATGACAGAAATTATATAAAATAACCAGTAAGTTTAATAATGTGGCACAATTTTTGTCAGAAACTGTTGAATGTTATTTTTGCCTTTCATGGTAGGTAATTTTCGAAGAGATTATAAAGCCAAGTGATGTGTTTATTCAAAATGTTTTTCCATGATGTTGAAAACTAAATTGTCTTAAATGTAAGAAGATTATCATAAGATAAAAGATAACGTCATAAGATAAAATATGCAAGATTGTCTTTGACTACAAGAGTCAAAGAAAGCCTTGTCTTTTAATGGAAAATTAAATAATGGGTCTTTATCATAATGTTCGATATTAAACAATTTGAAATGCTAAATTTATTGAAAACAACCAGTTTTTTTCCCTAGTAGCTATTTCAATTGTAGCTATTTCAATAGTAGCTATTTCAATATTTCAGTTACCTCATAATGCATCTGATTAAATTTAAATGAAACTGCACGAGACCCTTATTCTCAGAAAGAGAAAGACTGCTGTAAGTCAAATTATGATTGTGGCACACAACTTGTATGTTTTTCTTGGTGTAAATAAATAAGCAAATGAAAAATAAAAAGGGGCTTACAAATTAGAGGCAATTTACCCTACAGTTCATTACTGGGTTGGCCATTATTATGTATTAGAGGTGGTAGATTCAAAATGGTGGCAAAAATCAAAAATATATGCTGCATATTGTTATGGTGTATTTTATTTTTTACAATAATTTCAGTTTCACAGAAATGCTTCTGTTATTGGATATCAGATTATGAATGACTATGGATATACTTGTATAGATTCTCCCCTTTCTTGTCTCATATGATTATGCAGCATAGTTAGAAAAATACCATCTAAAAATTTCATGTTGAAAGATGAAAGGCCACCATAAAAAATTATTACCAAATAATGGATAATACTATAATTCGTTAGATAATATTAAAAGAAATTCTTATATCATTTTTCAAAACTAATTACTAAATTTACATTAAAGAATATAAAAATTTGAAAAGGGCTCAGAGTTTTCATATAAGCACTGAAGCTGATTAATTAACTAAGCATATTTATGATTGCAAAATTATTTTTTTTGTATTATTGTTTGATTTGATATATTAAGTGCTGACATTATTGTAAATAGACAGTTAAATTGTTAATACTGATATTAATTTTGCTCAGAATTCTCTTAAAAATACTGTAAAGATTACTGAAACTTACAAAACAGGTAATATGTACAGAGATAATACTATAATTCGTTAGATAATATTAAAAGAAATTCTTATATCATTTTTCAAAACTAATTACTAAATTTACATTAAAGAATATAAAAATTTGAAAAGGGCCCAGAGTTTTCATATAAGCACTGAAGCTGATTAATTAGCTAAGCATATTTATGATTGCAAAATTATTTTTTTGTATTATTGTTTGATTTGATATATTAAGTGCTGACATTATTGTAAATAGACAGTTAAATTGTTAATACTGATATTAATTTTGCTCAGAATTCTCTTAAAAATACTGTAAAGATTACTGAAACTTACAAAACAGGTAATATGTACAGAGGGTCACTTCCAGATGTTGACAACACAGGTAGCCACCAAAGGCACCAATTTTTGGAGAGTGTAAACTGAGTTATTTGCACATGCAACAACTGAATGAAAGCACATTACACATTTAATTATTAATAAATTTAATTTATGTTAGGTAACAACCATATTGGTTGCCTTGGGCACCAAAAAATGCTGGAGCTGGGCCTACACACACACACCAAAGGAAAAAAATGTGTAAATCAAAATATTTTTACATTTTGAACTTAAAAGAAACTGGAAAAAGAAAAATCATGTTTAGTCCAAACATTTTTCGAATAGAAGTCTTAAATATTTTGCTATAAGCTTTGAGAAATAAATTTGAAGATTTAAGAGCATGTGATGACAATTTAAATTTTTTGTATGATTTACATAGGTCGATTTCTTGTGAGAGAACAGTTGATTTTTCAAGATTCCTGTTTACAAGGTACTTGGTGATGGTACATTGATACTGAACTAAATTTTGCAATATGATAACTAATCATCACATGTGATTTTAGTTGACTGAAACTTGTCTTCTCTCCTCTCTTGCCTTTTAAGTACATCAGAATATAAGGGATTCAAGGTATCCCACAATTTATGAACTGAAGGTATTCACATCATTTGTGATGTAGTGTTCAGCACATCCAAGCAAGTGAAAGGTTAAATTTTCATTAAGGTCATGAGTGATTTTTTTTAAAATTTCTGCTCAGAAAAAGCTTAATTACCACTACATACATAAATTTTTATGTTAAATTTGTCAAAGTATGTATGTATACTATTATTTTCAATATTTCAGTGCTTAATAATTGCATATTTATAATGTCATCCATAAAGTTCTGTGATTTTTTTCGATTTAGAGCATGTTTTCTTGTAATTATTTTGTTATTATGGATAAAAAGTGACCTTGATCAAAGTGGATGTTTAAATACAGTTTTTTTTTGTGTTCACTTAGCATGTGATATGGCATAATTTTTATTCCAATGCAGTGCTAAGAATGAAGAACTCAAAAGATCATTTTCCTCATATAATGCTCTTTTATTTAAAGAAGGGTAAAAAATACTAGTCAGACTGCTTATAAAATCTATGCTATATATATGGACATATTGCAATGTCTGACGCTACAGTTTGAAGAAGGTTTAAGAAATGCAAAAATTTCAGCCTCAAAGAGGATTTTTGCTCTGGAAAGCCATCTTTTGTAAACAGGGACCTATGAATAGAAGCTGTTGCTGAAAATGCATATTATACAGTTCAGGAATTATCAAAAGGATTAAATATTTCAAACAGAATAGTAGTATTATTTGAAGAAGATTGTGTTTTATAGGGATATGGGTATCCCCTACTTTATCAGGAGCTGATTGCCATACCCAAGGATCTGGGTTTGAATCCTGGGCAAGGAAAGATGTTTGTAAATGAGTCTGTGCAGCATGGGGGCACTCAATATACACATTGAGCAAAACTCCTGTCAAGAGGGTAGTAGTAGGGGCAGAGGGGTGAAAGACCCTTGGACCCATACCTCTGGGATGCTCTCCTTCAAAATTGGGATTACAACTGAATAAAGTCATACTGTCATCTGTATGGTGGCTAAGGCTTTTACCAACAACAGGTGCAGTATTGCCTCCTTGCCTTGATGAATTTCGTTGCCTTGGTCTGATATCAGAAGAATGAGATTAGCGGCAACAACATACTTTATCAGAGCAGACTATATTTGCTGGAGTTTCTACATGTGATTTTTTGCTGAGGGCAGAATTTCCTTTTTTCAAATGGCTCATTACTGGAGTGGATCCTATACAATAATTTTACAAGAAACTATTAATGGGGTGAGCCAAAAGAATCTCCTTGAGAAACACAAAATGGGGCTGCATCCCCAAAAAAGTAATGCTTTTTGTATGGTGGGACAACAAAGGAATTCTATTCTATGAATTCCCCTTCTAAAATCCAAATCAGACAATAAATTCAGAAAAAGGACTGTTCTGAGATGGCAGTTTCAAAAACAGAAATCGAAGTGAAGTACCCAGAACTGAGCAATCATCGAGGTGTTTTCCATCAAGAGAATACTAGTCTCCATATTTTGATAGGTATCAGAGAAGGACTTACTGAGTCTGGTTGGAATATTTTTTGTCACCCTCCAATGTTCACTATACTTCTTTCAGATTTTCATCTCTTCAGGTCGCTTTAAAATTTTCTGAATGTCCTGGAGTTCACTTTTTTGGAGATTTTCAAACAACACTCTGACTGCTTCTTCATGAATAAACCTAATGAATAGCAACAAGTCAAAAAATAAAATAGTACTTATGTAAAAATTGTTCAGTAAAAAATATCTTTTCTTATTTTCCTTTTACTGCTACTTAAAAAATTGCAGAATTTCCTGAATGACACAATATAATATTATTGCACTAAAATAAAAATATTTATTTTAAAATATGTGAATGTGTTTAAAATATTATTTAATTTTTAGTATTAAATAAAGCACCCATTCACCTTTAAGGTGCGATGTACCTTTACAGTAACTGTATCAAGGGGTAGCAGCAGTGTGTCATACAGTATTAGATTTAGCAGCAATCTATCATCGTACAGTATTAGATTTAGCAGCAATCTATCGTCGTACAGTATTAGATTTATATTTTCTTATTTTTGCAATCATATATATTAAGAAAGAAAATGATTTTTAATCTGTCTGCCCTTCAGATTATACATTATATTTTAAAGTACATCATCTGCAGTTTGAGGATTAGGTGTAAATGTCAGAGTTTAATTTTTATTTTAGCCTAATCTTCGTTAATCTTCGAAAGAGTTAGGCCAAAATTTTAATTTGGTATTTTATGAGATGGAGAGAATGTATATTCAGCATATTTTTATTTAATATTGAAATACTTTATAACCCAGAATGGCATAAAGCAAAGAGTAATTACCATCAAGAGAATTTATGTGGAAAAACAGCTTTAGTTTTCCCCAGATCTTTAGGAGGGGAAATAGATTATCATATGAAACACCTCTTAAAACCTGTAACTCTAGTTGAAATAGTATAATGTGTGATATGATAGCTGTGACAATATGAACAGAAATAAGCAAATATAGTAGGTGCACCTTAAAATCTGTAGGCCTGGAAATATTCAGAGTTTAGTGACAAAAAGTATGACATTTTTTGATTCGATAATTAAAATGTTATTATGTGCCTGATGCCTAGGCATTGTGATCTATGTATAGTGTGCCTGCCTCGGACCTGTGTCTGTTTATTTAATCAGTCAGATTAACCAGAAACATTTCTTGTGAGTATGAATATTGCTTGTTCTTCAGTTAACTTGGAATTTCATTGAGATAGAAAGATGTGAATAGAATTTCAGTTAATGTTACTTTTGTGTTATAATATCTTAGTTATATAATATCTTAAAAAATTATTTAGTGCATGAAAATTTAGATCTTTTTTATTAATGCTTTTCTGCATGTTCTATGAAAATTATTATAAGGGATTTGAAAATTAAGGGCATTACATTTTCCCATTTCAAATTATACTTCTCTGTTCTGGAGGATTTTACAATTTCGATCTATGTACTCTCATTGACGACAAGTTCTAAGGCCATAATATTTTTAAATGAAGTGAATCCCTTTCTATTAATATTATAAATTATTCATTTGTTTTAGTTGTGCTTCCGAAATTTCTGAGCGAATTTTCATCTTGCAGCACCAATAATATTTCTCTCATTTTTTTTTTTCAATTTAAGCTTTTATTTTTAATATTGGTTTGACTGAAAATAATTGTATATAAATGGCATGGAGGTCTTGAGGTGTCAGAGAGAAAGAAATTTTAGAATTTTTAAGCGAATCAGATAATAGTTCGGATTACGGTGAAGAATCTAAAGATTAAGAATGAAGCAGATCATTTAGAAGGTAATTATAAAGTGAGATGAATAAGATATAAAAATCTAGTAGTATGCAAATATTACTAATGATAGTGAAAATGATAATGCAAAATTAAAAAGAGATCCTGTTTAGAGAGTTTTTGTGTTGCAATAAGAATGAAAAATTTGAGGGCATCAAATGTTTAAATCTTTGAGAAAATTGTTTTAAAATATTGGCTTGGAATTACGTGCACATTCTTTGAACATAATTTTTTTAATTCAACAAACTTTGAAGTTAAATTATTTATTATTGATCTTAATTTTGTTCTTTATTTCTGAAATTATAAAGTTTAAATTAGAAATCTTTCCTCGCATCAATACGAAAATTCGCATAATCTGTTTAAATTTGGTTAAATATTTATTAAAGTAGTGATGAACGAAAAATGCAGGTACGCTTGATAAAGGAGTTACGGAGTTAATAAAATTATGGAAATGTAACGAGCCGTTTTCGTATAAATCTAAACAAACATTCATTTCGAAAAATAAGTGCGCGTTTCAGTTACAAGGTCAAGGTTTTATTTTTCCTTTATTTACAAGTTCCTTCGTTTCCGCCATTGGCCATTTGCCAAGTGGGCCTTTTTTTTATCTTCCTTGGAGCCGCAGTCTCGTTGCGTTACTATCTTTTCTTTTTCCAGTGTTGACGGATTATTTTAAAAGTATATGCATATGGAATTGGGTAACACGTTATATAAATGAAATGTATTTTAAGATAATTGAATATCTGGTTCTATTCCATTTCTGTGACTGAAACATTTCTTTAAACTAATTCTATTTTCCCGTATAAAACTTTTAACAAATACTCTGATAGAGAAAGGTGATTTTGTTTATCATTCAGTACATTTTTTACTCTTTTTTTATGGGGGGGGGAGAGGCTGGGTTTCAAGAAATTTGACGTATCAAAATTATTTACCTTAAAGATCCAAATGCAAGATGCTGCTTATATGCTCAAAACACCCTTTTGAACACTATACACCTGTCTTATATACGCAGCTTAATATTTAATAAGGGTATTAAGATAATTTGTTAGTTATCTGTGAGTTTATGCATTAAAAAATGAATATAGTCATGTGTTAAAAAAATTCGTGGTAAACGGTTGTAGGGCAGTCTTATTTAAAAAGTGAAAAATTGTTACTCAACTTCATTGAAATAATAACATGCATTAGAAAATACATGGAGGTAGGAAGTAAGATGGAGTCGCCCTAAACAAGTTTCTTCGTACCCTGCTCTGAAGCACCGGCGATCCCTACGTGGTGACCAAAACATTGGGTCATTTACCACTGAGTTCTATGGGATTTGACGCGTTCGGGTGTAAATATTTTGTAATTACCTCGCAAATATACATATAAATGTATATATTTTCTTTTTCTACAACACTTCAGAGTCCTAAGTATGTGAAAACAACATATTTTTAAACAACATTTCATTCTGAACGGAATTAAATGCTATACTTTTCACAGGACAGATTTCTCAGAATGGTTTAATTTGAGTGAAATATTTTCACAAGTTTTCGTTAATTACATTAGGAAAAAATATTAAGGTAATTCGATTTTATTCGGTTAAGGTACAAAAATTAAGATCAAAGTTTATTGTATTATTAATATTAAAATTATGCATTATTTCTTTTCTATTTATAGAGCTTCTTCCTAAAATACTTTCTTAAATATGACATGATTTTTTGGCTTTTTTAAATTCGAAAAATGTAAGTCAATTTATAATTAATGCTCTATTCAGTTCATTTTAAATTAGAGAATTATTAGGAATTAGCGAAATACTTTAAATAAGTATTTCGCTAATTCCTAATAATTAAATAGGTATTAAATAGCATTTGACTTTCTCTGAACATTTCTGAAAGGGAATAAAATAAGTTTTTTTTTTCAAGTATTATTTAAAACTTGAAACTGAGTTATTATAAAATGTAAAGGGAAAAATTCTTTTAATTATACTTATCAGATTTTTTTTTTACTCTTCATTTCAAGAATACATATTCCAAGACTCTTTATTACGTTCTTAAGTGCACATCTCATAGCATTTGCTTTACAATACCTTTTAACAGATTGCTTTCCAATACGAACAATTCTTGCTTAAATAGTTTTATAACGTATTTGTCAACAGGATTTCAATTTATGTTTACAATTCAATATTAAGGTTATTATATGTTTAGATAACATTTATAATCATTATAAATTAGATACATTTAATCATTACATTTCTTCACAGTACTTTCACAGTTGTTTATAAGTGAATAAATTCTTCATTTCAAATACATTTATAAATAATTTAATGAATATTTAAGTATTTTGTCAAAGGCATATTTCGTATTTATCATTTCTGGCATGTGCAAATCTTTAATTTCTGTGCATTCACTATATTTTTCGTGTAAAGTAATTTACACTAATTTAGCATACACCCGAAAGTTTTACATAAAAAATATATATGAATATAATTTGAATGAAAATTATAAGTATTATTTTTAATACCCACTCAAAGGTCAGTTTTTCTTCAAAATTCCTCCACGATGGCATCTCTCTCTTTAGGCAGATAGCCCTTGCATGCGTTACTCTATTTAATAAAAACTTAATCTGACCTATGTGCCTAATTACAAATATTTTAACATACATAATTTTATATTTACATTTAGCCATCAAGTTTCAAACTTTTCAAATCTTCTAGAAAATAAATTTTGGCAGATCTCTTTTAGCAATTTTCTTAAAATCTATATTTTTGTAGTACAACAGCTTAGAATTTTATAAAACAAATTCATAATCAAAATCGCTGTTGTTAGTTATCGAAAAATAACCAAGATGTGATTTTTGCGTAAATGTCAGTAAACTTTACAAATTGCTATTATCCATTACACTATGAATGTTTCTTTCATGCGAGAGTGTCCCTTTTTCGATGTCTATGGAACTGTCGTGTGTCGAAATACTATCAGAATCTTGTCAAGCGAGCTTCTGAATGTAAACAAAGAACAGCCCGTCTGGTGACCCAAGCTTCAAAGCAGTGCTTCACTTCTAGCGCGGAATGGCCCCTCCTCCCTTTCCTACCTCCATGAGAAAATATGTGCGTTCTTGGAAGTACTGGAAGAATGCATTTTTCAGTATCTGTCATAGATCAACATTCGTTTCATTGTTTTGAGCAGCTCGCATTGTCTGAGCATTGCAGCAACTGTCTGGGCTTTTGTAGAGTTGCTGGACAGCTTATTGGTTTACCGTGTCATTTTAGTGTCCGTTAGGTGATCCAAGATTAAGTTCCGGCGAACAGACTGGATGCATGGAAGTTTTCATGGCTTTCCTAATCACTGAATTAATCAATTGGGGTTCACAGGTATGTTATGGAATATACTTATGTGTTGCATCAAATGTAAAACACACTTTTTTCTCGATTCCAGAGAGATCATACTGCTTCCCCCCCCCCCCCGACTACACATGGTTGGGGATTCTGGATTCTTTAAAATATGGTAACCTTAATAATTATTCTAAATTATATTAACCTGTTTTTAAAACATGATTCTAAATTCTTGTAATTGGTTCTTAATTCTTATGTTAACCTGAAGTATGTTTTATTATTAATCTTGAAACTGCATTAAGAAGGCTATGTACACTTATTTGCAATATTTCTTGAAATTTAATCGCTCACAAATTTGTCAGTATTTTTTCATCAAGTATTAGTGTTCTTTTTCAGATCTTAAAAATGGTTTTCCATGACGGAAGAATTGCATTTCGTTTGACGTCGATTTCAAATGAAAATAGTTCAGTATATTTGACCTGTAAAGTTTTTGTAGGTAGACATACTTTTTTGTAATGCGTTTTGACGCGCGATAATAGATGTCTGTGTTAGAATTTCCAGACATCCTTTGTTGTGTGTTGAAAATGGAACTAAATATTATTGACGGATGATTTTGAAACTTCCCCTTTGTACGTGTCTGCTACCATGCGTCATTCGCTTATTGCGTTGAATTCGAATTGAAACAGATGTTTATGACATCTGTTACGACAAGTAGTGGCGTTTACGTCAGTAGAAAATTTGTATCAAGAACTGTGAAGGAGTTGTTTAGCAGAGCGTTTGATAATTATTTTCACTCACCGTGAGTGTCGAAAGTATTCGTACAGTAAGTGTTATGATGTAAAAATGCTTTATTGATAAAAGCTTTAAATTTAAATTCCACAATAAGTAATTAAAAGTGTATAGTGAAATGTATTTTAATATTTCCATGTAAAATTTACGTGTAAATAAATGCATGCATAAAAGACATTTACAAAACAAAAATAATCTGTCATCTTGCGGTGTAAAAAGTACTCGTACATCTTGTAGGATATCCTTTATGATGGTAACAAATAAAATCATGGACCAAAATTTATGATGGTAACAAACAAAATCATGGACCTACCTTCTTTAAAGATCAACAGTTATCCTTCTGAGACTGTTAAACGGGTTTTCATCCGCAGAGAACCCGTTGGCGCTTCGGGAAAGAACCCGTTGGCGCCGTTGCATTCTTACTCGCCAAGCTCGCGGTTCATCGACGATGAGCCGAACCGTAAACGTGATTTTTAGTGCATGTAAATTCAAGTTAGCAGATAAAACAATATATTAAGCATATGGTAGTAAAATTCACATATAATATGCATGTAGATGTAAAACTAAAGGGTTAAACGTGATATACGAAAATAAATTTGTATTAAATTCAAGTTAGCACAGAAACGAATATATTATTAAGCATAAGACAATATATAAGCATTTATAACGGAAATAAAAATTCATTTAAAAAATATAAATTAGTATTAATATACTGAAATTAACCGGTTTAAACGTGATATACGAAAAAAAATTTGTCTTAAATTCCAGTTAACACAGAAAACAATATATTCCTTACACCAGCAGTTGTTTGCTAATTTTGATGACCATGGTGATGCATCAAACTATTCTGTCATCTTAGATAATCAATATTTTTTTATTTCAATTTAATCATCTATTTATGCCACACCTGCCATCCTCTGAAAGGTTATTGTTAGAAAAGCATTAACAATATATTATCTTGTTAAAATTTTACGCCATAAAAATTGCTTTATTCTCATAATTTTAGATGACAATAACCAATAATAAAAATAAAAGCATTACTTAATTATTTAAAATGCACATGCACATTTTTGCGGTCTACGAAAACAAATTATTTTAGACTTTGGAAACCTCATGGTTCTTAGAGCTGTTAATAATTAAGAACACAACGTGAACAGCCGTGTTACAAATTAGCATTCACCCCTCCTTTCATCCCGAACCGAGAACCGGCATCTATCTACGAAAATATTTCTATCTATTCGTTGTTAAAAAATTCAGAAAAAATAATAATAAATAAGAGAAGAATAATATAAATCTGCAAATGCGAACAACGACAGTCTTAATTCAACAAAATAAACGCAAGAGGAATGGTTGCAAACTTCGAACAAGCGAATGGGATAAATCCGAAGGGTTACCAAGTTAGAACTATTATCGCCAAAGTTGGCGATGTTTACATTTACCGGGTTCTCTGCGGAAGTGCTTCCCTGTTAAACATTGGGTACAGTGATTTCAAGCTGCAGTGTCATTAAAATTGAAATTAAAAACAGAATATCTATGGCCAACAAAGTTTTTATGGACTTAAAAACACCCCAACTTGGTGCTACTTTGGTAGACGGTTGCACGGATTTTGGCGATTTTCCTGTGGCGAGTAATACAGCTTATGGTAAACCCATTGCACGATAAGTTATTTATGGTAACCGATACTTTGTTGTCATTTTATTTTAAAAAATAATGCGTTTTATTGTTATTAAATTCCGTGTTTAAAATATTATTTATGGCTTTTAAATATTAAAAATCAATTTAATTTTGCATTTTTATTTGAAATAAAAATTTTCTTGTTTATCATATTTTATGAAATTTTATGTTGTGGATGATGTAATCAATGACGTCACCTTACTTTAAAAGTAATTCGTTTTAATATGTATAAATTTAATCTAATGTTTTAAACATTATTTATGGCTGTTAAATATTAAAATACAATTTAATTTTGCATTTTTTTAAAAAATGATTTTATTATGTATGAATTTTTAAATAATTTTAATTCTAGCCGTGATGTAATAAGCTCTCTGATTGGTTATAGAATATTTGTGCATTAACGAGCTGTAATCAGCTTCCTGATTGGTTATTGATAATTTGTGCATTCCCGCGCCGTTTTAAAATTTAATTCATATCTTCGAATTCCTTCAAAGATGTCTTCAAAGATGTTATCTAAATTATGATTCGGATTTTTTTTGTGGTATTTACGAATAAACAAGAGGTTAAATACTCAAAAAAATGTAAGTACATATTTTTCTTTTATTTTATATTTGTATACTTCAATTTTTTGTTAAAAAATTAATACACTATTTTCAGAAATTGCTGAGATAATTATTGACCATATGTTTTAATGTTAATTAATACTCTATATAACGTATTTTAAAGTATTTGAGTTTAATAATATTCTAATTCTTTTAAATGTTGGTATGATGGTTTTTAATTCGATATTCAATTTCAGTAATATTTTAATCTAATTAAACGTTGACCCAATGTTTTTATAGTGGTGTTTTTATTCTCTTCTTTGCTATATGAAAGTAATAATAACCTTACTTTAGTATTTTATACTCATAGTAAATGTATTTATTTACACTTGCCTGCCATCTTAAAAAACGGCATTTTCAACAAAAAATTAATCCATTACTTTTAATGATATTTATTTTTTTTTTTTAAGTTTCGAATACTTTACTATGCGTAAAAGCAGCGTTTTTCAAAATGGCTGACGTTTGTAAAAATCGCGCCAACGTAAATCGCCAAAAATCCGTGCAACCGTCTACCAAAGTAGCACCAAACTAATTAGCATAAAAAACAAAATTAATTTATATAAGACTAAGACTTTGATAAGCCTTGTGGCCCTGTATGGAAGTGAATTCCTGGCGTTTAACAAGAAAGATCTACTGCTGATGTTTGAAAGAAAAATTCTAAGGAAGATTTTTGGACCGGTGAGGCAAAGTGAATTGCGGAGAATATTATACTCGTATCTATTACCGTGAAATCTACAGGAAATATAATGAATCTGATATTGTCAAAATTTCAAAAGCATCTCTTATTAGATGGCTTGACCATATTTAACCATATTTATAAATGTGATGATGCATTTTCTTCTAAAAACGTAACCTTTTCAGACATAAAGAGGACGCGACGAAAAGAAAGACCACCCACTGGATTGCTGGATAGTGTGTAAAAGACTTGGAAGCTGATAGAGTTAAAACCGACCGGGTGCTGTGGCGCCAGATAGTGTCAGATGGAGAAAACTTGGGCAGCCTTGGCCTGTAGCACGCTGTAGAGCTCAAGAGGAAGAAAGTTATCCTTTAGCATGAATAACAGCCTCGAGTCTCCTTGGCATTGCAAATTTGCTGTTACTCAGCTAGATATGGACTCCCATTCTTGTTTAAGAGCAGTTATTAAGTCATTTTTATTAGAAATGTGCCTATTTATCTGTAGTTTCCCATAAATTCTCAATGCGATTGAGGTCGGATGACTGAGAAAAAAATGCCATTAATGATGACTTAAATTACCGATCCCGAAAGCACTCGTACAACACCAAACCAATATGCCTCCTCTATGTTTCACCTGTTAGTAGTAAAATCCTTGGATGCATTTCTGTATTTCGTTTCCTCCATACCATTCGCCTCCCGTCCGATCCAAAAATATTGAATTTCCATATGAAAAAATAATGTTCCTCCAGAACTCGGGGCTTTTATTCACGTAATTTAACTTCCGATTGCTTTCACTCGCAAAGAACACTCGTCTCGTAACATGGGCATGGGAACCGTGTTTTCTGCATGCATGTCGAATTGTACTTACAGGTATTGTTCTTCCCATGTTTCTCAATTCTGCTGTAAGCTTAGGAGCACTTAGTTTCGGATCTTTCGTCAATGAGAGTATCCAGAAATCGTCTGTCAACGGATGTAAGTAGATATGGTTGCCCTGAACAAGCAGTATTTTGCACTGTTCTTGAGAATAAACTTTTGAATAATCGTTTGCACAGTTCTGTCTGCCATCAGTGGCCTGCTGATAGAAACTCAAATTTCATTGTATGATTTACCGCGTTCACGAAAAATTGACTAAATCAATTAGAAAATTCTTCCAAAATTTTGAATTTGTTTGAATGTTGTGAGTGCGAATACTTTTTACGCGCCAATAAATCCCCAATTTTTAGTTTCCCTTATACGTCGTAGTAAAAGCTAATTCAATATCGTTTCCGTATTGCTTTTTTTTGCACTGTTATTTGATAAGCCTTTTTTATTAGTTATTGCCTTTTGAAGAAGCTTCAGCACGCCAAAACAAACTTCTTTCGCGAAACCACTCTTGTACGAATAATTTCTACAGTCACTGTATATTTGTCGCATACAAACTTAATATATTTTGAAAATTACTGAAAAACTGATCCATTGTTTGTTCAGATACATCGTAATATTTCAGTACTCTCAACAGAAAAAAAAAAAAAAAAAAAAAAAAAAAAAAAAAAATAGAAGTAACTTTTGTGTAGTTTTTTTTAACATTTGCTAGGAGTAAAAGTCATTGGCACATTTCTTTAGCCTTTAAAATTCAAAATTGGAAGAGCATTAATTATCTGCGAAGTAGACAGCCGGAACACTTGGCTGCAATCTTAAACAGTAGTCATGAATAGAAACTACTTGGATTATGCCCAAGCTGAAATACTGATAAAATCGTATTGGGTCAGCTTACCTTAATGACGTCAAGGCTGAAGTGACGTCAGAGATGACTTTACATGGACCTTATAAGAAATAGACTAACTCAGTGGGCGGGGCGCGTGTCACCGACATCTCCGCATGAAAGAGTAGGGACGATCTGGTTTACTTTAACATAGAAACCTATGGCGTTTGTATCACATAACTGTTTTTTAATTATTAAATGGATACGTTGTATAGTGATGAGATTATGCAAGCCACAGGTTTTTTTCAAATAGGATTTAATATATATCATTAAAGCACTTTTTACTGCATTTCGTGCATTTTTTCACGCGTAATTCTTATACAAACATCTTTACTTTGGTAAAACGGTAAAAACTCTAAGCACAAAATTTATGAACTTAATTTTACGTAAAAATAAAGTAAAATTAAATAAGACTGATAGTACGTGATGCTTTGAAATAAATAAAGTAAAATTAAACAAGATCTGATAATTAAAAAAAAAAAGTTAATGAACATTTTCAGGCAGTGATTTTCCAAACTATAATAACATTACGAAACGATTATTTATTTGATTATATGATCATTAAATTATTAACATTAAAGTGGATTAGTTATTTTAATAATTCATAAATTTTTGAGCATAAAATTTTCTGAGCGTAATGAATGGAAAGAAAAAAGATAAAATAAAATCTAGAAGCACTCAGATTTTATATTACGCCCAAAAGG